TAAAGTGGATAAATGACTTAGAGCACCAAGACTCTCTTTTATGCGCGCAAAGGGGGGTGGGGGTTGCAAATGTGAATCGGAAATGGCTTTGATTAACTGAACTTCTCATTAAGACCGTATTAATTATTAGCCTACCGGTTACAAAAGTGGCTATATAAATAGACCACTCCTCAGGCCATAAATCACACCGAAAACAATCTCGGGTTGCAAATGTGAACTGGATTTAACTTTGGTTAACTGAACTTCTCATTGAGATCGTATTAATCATTAGCCCACCAATTACGAAAGTGGCTATATAAATATACCACTTCTCCGGCCAGAAATCACACCAAAAACAATCTGCTTCTTCTTACTTTTGTGTAACTACCTACTGTCAAAGTAATATTCAGGTCTTCTTAGGTTCGGTGGTCTCGAAGAATTGCTCTTGTTGTTGTATTCTGGGAAACAAACGTTCATAATGGGACGAACTTGTTTTAAGGACAACATGTTAAACACACGCCTCAACACGTTTTACTGTTTCGTTCATTCTTTTGGTACGTTATCTACTGGTTTTATATTAGACGAGTTAGGATTATGAATGATTAACTTTTTGTCGTAGGCTTCAAAAAGTGTAGTTGGTGGCTCGGTGCTATCCCCTCTTGATCGTGATTGGCCAACTAAAACACAACTTAATAAGTGACCCATTTCCATTATTTATTTATTTACTATTTTTTATTATTATTTTCTTGTCTTTTTTTCTAAAAAACAAAAAAACACCATTTTTTTTCAAGAAAAATTCAATAACTTTATGGGAAAGTCTCTTACGAAGTTGGTTCCGAAAAGTTGCTTCATATGATCAACAAACATCTACAATTATAGTTTCGTAGCTTTTAATAAGGGAAAATTGTATCAAAATAAAATCAACTTTTACTTGATTTCTATTTTGAAGAACCAATTTTCAAAATCGTCATTTAAAGGTCTATATCAAACTTTTTGTTTAATTAAGGGTCTGGTTGATCTGTTGAACGGGTAACAAGTAATTTAAGGGTCTTTATCAAACTTTTGATTTGATTTGCCAAATTTGATTTAAACTTTAATATTAATACGGATTGGTTAGATATAAAAATCTTGAATGTGATATTTAATATTTATTTGTATCAATTAATTTTTTTTCTATTAAATTGATTTTTTTATTGCATTAGTGAAAAACAATATTTATTGTGGTAATTTGTATTTTTTTTTTTAAATCTTCAATTTGATATCTGAATTAAAAAAAACAAGATTTGAAATGAAAAATAGATTTTATTGCATTAATTTTTGAAAAAAAAAATGAATTTTAGTTATTTTTCTGTAATTATTTTGCAAGTTGGTTCCCCAAAATAGGAATCAGATGCAAGTTGGTTCTCCAAAATGACGATTTTGAAAGTTGGTTCTGCAAAATAGAAATCAGGTGAAAATAGGTTTCATTTTGGTGCAATTTTCTCTTTTAATAACACAAATGATAGTGTCATAGTGTTGTATGAAGGTCAACATGTTCGTAGGGTCTTCGCCTTTTGGGCTACGCCCTCCCTCGAGTTCGAGCAAAATGAACCGGATCACCGTAGGTTTCAAATCAAGAAAAAATGGTTCACTCGTGTTACGTTTTACGCCTTGAAGTTTTAGGGTTCATATTTTAATCGAAATTTAAGAATCCAAGCTTTAGGGGCAAATTAAATGTTCGAGAATTTTTAGAAAATGCATTTCTAACGTCTATTTATTTTATTTACATTTTAGTCGGGATTACTGGAGGTTTGTCTGGCTGATAATCTCTAGATCCAACACCCGCGATCATCGTATAAGAAAAAAAAAAGCAACGACTATGTTAAAAGCAAATAAATTCGACTCTTTCTTAGTGGTATGCAAGTGAGAAGGGGGTATAAAATGTGAGTGGTGTAAGTGAACGATTGTAGAGCAAACCTGGTGGACTTGGCGAAACAAGCAAAACATGTTGCGTAAGGATGGTGATTTGCCCTGACTCGGTGGGGAACCCGTCTCACCCGACCCGAACGGGGACAGGGTTTCCCCGCTAAAACGGGTTCCGGGGATCCCCATAGACTCAAACCAGGGTTGGAGCTAGGGCCGGGTATTGTACCCCCTAACCAGCGCCGTACCCGGTAAACTAATATTCATTTAATAAGTATTTGGGATTTGGAAATTCTGATAATAGGTCTCTGTTGCTGTTGGACTTCAAATCAGTATCTGGGTTTGACCGGGAACAGGATGTTAATCCCCATACACAAGAAAAAAGGAACAATGGATCGGCTCAACCGATAAATAAATAAAAGCGAGGCCTTGAAACTCATATCCATAGGTCTCTTGATGCTTCCTTAACAATAAGATCGCTTGTGTTTGTTAAGAAATTCTTATACCATCTTGCAGAAAGCTTCGGGGTCCGAGTTAGCGTTTTCCGGTCAACATGGAGTAACCCGAACTTCACTTTGTAACCTTGCAACCATTCGTAGTTGTCCATCAACGACCATAGAAAATATCCCCATACATCCGCTCCCCCTCTGTCGTTTAAAACAACAATTCTTCAAATAACCAATAGCAGTTTCATTATATATCTCCGTTTAAAGTAAAATGTATGGGGAACCCGATATTTACTTTCCAAAAGTGCCCTTAAAGAGAGAATGGAGGTCCCAACATATATAGACGTGAAATGGTCCAAGTTGGACTGATGCGGGACTCTAACAAGCCAAATTTTAATGTTTTTGACTTTTACTTTTTTTAGCTGATTCTCAATTGTAGAAGAACAATATCATTTAAGTAAATTTCATATGTTAGAGCATCTCCAACAGATTCTCCAAAATGGAGAATCAAAAGTCAAAATCTCCAAAGAAAATTTATATTCATATCCAACAGCTTCCCCATTTTAAAGATTACAATATGAATTATCTATACTATATTATAAAGCATTTGAGAAAAATTCATAAAAACCATTTTTTTATGTATGAAGTATCGTTTATTGATGTATATTACTTAAAATTCAAGACTACAAGTAAATTGTGCGTAAGTACAACTTCTTAAAGATTCATGTTTGAATCCGTGTAACTAACTTCAGATAAACATTTCATTTTAAATATAAAAAAACTAAAAAATAATTAGAATAATTATTGAGTTCTAACAAAATACTTATTTATTATCTTTATAAAAAATTATATTATTAAACCAAAAATAAAAAAATGAATTAAATAAATACACAAAAACCGAGAAATTTTAAATAGTTAGTCTGGTACTAATAGAATATTCTTTTTATTTTTTATGATATCTTCATATTTGTATTTTATTTAAAAATAAAAATATTATCGTTTTCTCAAAACCACATAAAACCGTATTATAACATTGACTAAGACCAAAAAAAAACGAAACACTAAAATCGAGATGTATCTCGCTGCATTGTACGAGTACCCTTCTAGATATTATTAAAATATCCAATACCTTTCTTAAAATATTATTTATCTCTCATAAGCAATAGTTTCAAAGATTCTCATTGGAAGGAGGAGTAAAAAATAATTTTTCTTTCATAGATGATCATGATTTTTACAGATTTCTCCAAATTTGGAGAATTTCACCCTCTCTCCTACTTTATCCATTTTCAAGAATCTGTTGGAGCAAAAATCCCCAAAATCTCCATTTAAGGTTTAGATGTTCTTATTTTCTCATTAAAAGAGATGTTATTTTATTTGTACTCATCGAGTTGATTTATATCTTGGTACAAGTGTAACAGGGCCATTCCAATCTTGAAGTACAAAGAAATTGTCGAGCGAACCTGATAGATTTGGCTAAAGAAGCAAGGTACGATGTGTGATATCCAACTCGTTTGACGTCATTCACAAGCTCATTAACACGTTCCGCTTGCACGTCAGGTGGAGAATACCCTGCAACGGAATTACAAGTACGGGGGCATGACCAATAACATATTCGTAATTTGTTCAATCTGATGATTGTGAGACGTACCGTTTTCAGTAATAAACATGGGTTTATTATCGTACCGAATCTTGATATAGTTAACAATCCCCTCCATGCCTCTAGGAACAACGTATAATCCGTCTAACATGGTCTGTTCGTGCAACGGAGATAAACGTTTTTGTCGTCAAATAAAAAGAAGAAAAAGCGGCTAAACCAAATTAAGAGAGCGAAAACTAGAGCCAAAAAAATGCAATTTCGTACGGGTTCACCAATTGGCACACCGTCTCGCTCTCCAACCAACTCTACAAAACCTTGGATTGAGCGATCTGCAGTTGCAGAGCAACTGGAGTTGGTACAATCCTTGGCGTATATAGTCGAGTAATGGTTGACGCCGATAAAATCAATACTGTTATTCATCAAATTCTTTTCGTCAAGCGAGAAACTTGGCAATTCGCTTCCGAGGTATTCACGCATTTCTTCGGGGTAATCTCCAAATATTACGGGATCGAGTGCCCTGTTTGAAGGTAAGAAGTTGAAGGAAGATGATATCATATATAGCTTTCTCTTTTTTTTTCTTTTTTTTGTAAGGGTGCGTTTGGTACAGAGGACAATACAAAAACTTGTTGTCAGTATGACATTAAGCTAAGACATGACAGGACTGAGTGAGACAAAAACGCATTTTATTGTCCCACCAAAATAGATGGAACAAAACTCAAGAGTTATGACAAAAATGGTAAATTACTAAACTATCTATGTCAAAATAAAACCCTAAAACCACTCTCAGACTACAATGGAATTGAGGTTACAGGACCTCAAAAATGTCTAGGCATCTTAATATACTGATTTATAAGACTTAATTTATAGGATCAAATAATATAAAAGTCTCCGCTAAAAGTGTTGTAATAAGTTTATAAAATGTTTTTGGGCGTTGTAACAAGTTTTTGGACATTTTTATAAAAGAAAACGGGACATTATTTGAAAAAGTGTCTTATAAAAACAACAGAACATTTCTCAAAAGGGTACTGTAAAATAGCTAATGCGATGTTTTTGTATTAAAAGCGTCCTAAAAAAATTGTTAAGACACCCAAAAACGTTCTATGAACTTATTACAATACCTCTAGATAAGACGTTTTATTGTATAAACTTAAGTCTTATAAACCAGATTTTGTTTTAGTGTGTACAATTATTTCTCACTCTTGCCCATTAAGGCCAATCCAGTCTAGTCATGTCTGCATACCAAACACACTTTTACTAAGTTACGAGTGGACATACATTCAAGAACATTACCAACGAACATTGAAAGCAAACGCCCTTTCGACAGCATCGTGATCAAGCTCACTATCAGAAAACGGTTCGAACATGAAACAATGCACGGTAAGCCCAAGCGATCCACCTTGTTTATGCTGCACAGAGAAGTCCGAAGATTACGAACGATAATTCCTTTAACCAACAATGCAATAGGTAGGGGTGCTCAAAGAACCGGTCAACCCGATTAACCTGACCAACCCAACCTAACCCAACCCGTATGATTTGAGTTGGGTTGGGTTGGGTTGGGTTGTAGTTTTTCTAAGGTTAGGTTGAGATTTTTCAAACCGTAAACATTGGGTTGGGTTGTTTAAATGCCTTCAACCTGACCTACCCAACCCATGTGCAGCCCTACCAATAGATCAGGGTTTGAAGAAAGAGTTGAAGTTCGTTGATTGCCTGAAACTTCTAGCGATATAGCTTCGCTGCCATGCCATGGGCCAGTAACATGTTGTGCATAACAACGAGAGGCTCGACATCCGAGTTTCCCACAAGACAGTTACCAAAAGGCTCGGAACAACGAGCAGGAGGAAAAAGGCCCGTTTCATAAGCGTATGATGCTACGATGTTAGGTTCATTGATCGTGATCCAATGCTTCACTCGGTCTCCAAACGACTTGAAACAAACTTCTGCCATATGTACAAAACCGTCCCTGCCAGCAAGATACATAATACGCCCCATAAGCTAACTAAAAAGCCGAGGAGTCGATATTATGGTCAAGATGGCGTTATAGACATACTTCATTTCGGGGTTGAGCCAAGACCCATATCGATCTTCAAGTTCCTGAGGTAAATCGTCATGGAAAAGGGTCACAAATGGCTCGATCCCTGTATCGTTTTAATCGACAGTCAAGAATCCAAGCGATATGACGATATCACACGAAACATATACAATCTTTTGAGGTCAAACTAACAAAACATCAGAATTCATGCATCTAAGATTGTCTAAGCATCCTAATTTGCGGTTTTAACCCCTCAATAATTACTGAACGTTATTTAAGTACGGTACATTCAAGTAAGTTGACGAGTAAGTTTTTAAAACCCGGGTCTTAGAATACTTCGATGGAACTTATGTTTATAGGACTAAATTATAAAGCGTCCTATCTAAAAGCATGGCAATATGTTTATAGGATGCTTTTAGACGTTTTTAACAAGTTTTTTAAGACGTTTACTATTAGCTATTTTACAGGATACTTTTCTGTAAACCCATTTTTGATAGGACACTATAAACCCAAAAGTGTCCTGTAAACCCATATTTTACAGGACACTTTTCATGTCCCATAAACCCATCTTTTTATAGGACATTTTTTTCAAATAATATCATATAAAACATAGTTAATATGACACTTTATTATAAAATCCTACTAAAAAATCTGTTAAAATGTCTAAAATCATCCTATCAACCTATTGTAACATTTTTTTTATTAACCTGGATATCCAACCCACTATGCAGGCCGACTAATCCCAGGATGACCACTTGCTTTGCTTTGCATGTAGCCCGGAGTCACCGCATTTGAACCTCCGTGGCCACAAAGGGATTTTTATTCCTCCTTGGATTTGAACGTGAGACCTCCTGATACTTTTGATCTTTAGAGTCAAGCTCAAACCAACCAGACACCATCCTATCAATCTTATAAAGTATTCTTTTAAGACGGTTCTATATTTTAGACGTCCTATAAAATCAACTTTGTTGTAGTGCAAGTATTCAAGTTTCATCTCATCTGACCTTTGAGGATCAGATTGTCTATTAACTTGTTATAGAACATGATCCCAGCAGGATTAACCTCACCAAACCTTCCTCCTGATAATTAGATACACAAAAATGTAAGCATCACTTAAAAAAAAGCTAATGAAAACGAGAAAAGGACGATAAGATCGGATCGAATACTTGGAAGAATTCTAGCCCACGAAATCGAAAATCGGTACGCTTTTACACCAAGGGAATGCATCATCTCGATATCTTCCTGTAGTAAAGAAAACGACAAGTAATAAAATCAAGATTCAAATAAACGACACTGTTGTTGATATACAGACTTCGGATCATGTGAGACCAGCCTGTTTTTGTGAGACCCGTAACACCACATAATAACACTGAACCTTTACAGTGTTTTGTTATGAAGGTTCGGTGTTATTATTCTTTCTGGTGTCACGAGTCTCACGAAAACATATTGGTCTAACGAGAACCAAACCCTTGTAAAAATTAGATATATGAGCGGTAGTTAGAACCAAAAACCGATGATAATGATCATTTGCAACATCTCCATTCTCTCCGTTTTCTCCGCAACCTACTTAAACATGATAGCAGATAAATTAGCAATAGAAGTTGAAATCGATTCGACGTATAAACAATAACAAACGATGAAATCGATAATATTAACCTACGGAATGACAAAATACATCCCAGTTGCTGAGTGATTTACCATCTTCAAGATATGCTCCTTCAATCTGCAAAATTCCATGAGTTGAAGTATATATATAGAGAGAGTCAGATTCATATGAGAACAGTAACTAAATAAGAAAACAGTCACATCACATGTGATTTTACACTAAAATCATGTGTAAAATCATATGTGATTAGGTCGCAAGCCACATCTTCCCCTCTCTCTCTCTATATTACTTCTTGGTCTTCGACCCCCTCAGTCACTACGAACGCCCCCGATCAGTGTAATGGGATGTGTCTATTTATCTATAATATATGTATATATATATATATATATATGAGACGTGTAAAATCATATGCGTGTTCTTTTATTTGATTACTGTTCTCATTTGAACCTACCTCTATATACAAAGGGACCTTTTTTTGAGAACCCATAAAATCGTGATAACCTTGAGAACTAGTGCATAATGAAGTTTAATAGTATTTTTTCATCTAAGACTAAGATTTAGAATATTGAATAACTACACAATGTGAACTTTTTTAGCCTGTTCATGTAAGAAGTTTCACATTGTGAACGCAAACATATGAAGCAAACACATTGTGAAACAAATATATGTTAACAATACACGAAATTCTAGCCTTAGATGAGAAAAAACCATGTTAAAAAATAATACCTTAGGATAATAGTTCTCATATGAAGTTCTCAAACGCTTAAACCCCATATATATATATATATATATATACTAGCAATATGCTCGTGCAATGCACAGAATAAGCAGACTTGAAAGTTATTCTAAATGGAAAATGAAAAGCTCTTGGAGGTCTCCAATAGATTCTCCAAAATTGAGAAAATAGAGATTTTGAACCAATTTTATGCTCCAACAGATTTCCTAAAACAATCTCTAAAATGGAGAAAATAGGAAAAGAATAATATTTTTTCTTCAAATACGAACACCACAAAGATGATTATCATGTGAGAGAAATATTTTTTTAATATATCCCACCATTAGAAAACTTTAAGAATAAATATTTAGAGAGATAAATAATATTCTAATAGATAAATGAAATATTTTAAAATTATAATCAATATTGGATTCTACAAAATACGGAAGCTGTGGAGATAAATATAAATTTTTTTAGAGACTTTAATTTTTGTTTCCATTTTGGGAATCTGTCGGAGATGCTCTTAGTCGTGTTGCTCAGTTGACAAAGAAATGTAATGACTTTGTTTAAATACACAACAGTTTAAAGTTAAAATCCCGTTGGAAATAGGCTCGAGTCCTTCTGCTAAAAATGCATTATTCTTTTTGGAATATTTTATGTTAAAAATTAACTATTTACTCGTTCCTCTTCATTACAAACAAAAGGATTATGTTGATTTTTGGTCCATAATATTACTATATATAATCTGAGTTACAAGGTACCTTGGATATCTATTAGTGTATATGAAGTCAAACTTTCACTTAAGTACATGAATAATAAAACGAACTATATCGAGGGTCGTTTACTCAAACGCTTGCCTATGGTCAACTTTCACTTAAGGTCAACGCTCTCGGTTTCCATATTGGGGTGGGTTGGAGATTTATCATATTGGTTTGAATTCGTAGAAAAAGACAGAGAGTGTAGAAWAGGTGAGACATGAAATAGGGAAGAAGAAAGTTGTRGAGAAGAAAGCAAGGGTCTGAAATGAYCATTTTGGGAGGTGGTGTGGAATGTAACCGTGCATGAAAACAAGTTCAAAACAGAAACATCAAAAAAGTAAGTTGGGAACTTAATCTTGATAAAAGTTATTTGAAGAGTTACCATGAATAGAATTAATGGCATCAAGAAGGCTCCATGCATAAAAAGGTTGTACCATATGCTTTATGACTTGTCTTTAAGAGATTTTTTAATTTGGTGCATAAAACCATTGTACCATATGCTTAGTAACTTGTATTTAAGACAATGAATTAAATGGTTATATATGTAGTATAGAGAGAGAGAGAGAGAGGGGTATGAAGTTCTAAAATGATTAAATCATGTGTGTATATATATGTATGTGTGTGTATAGAGAGAGAGAGAGGGGAAGGTTCAAGCAAAAATCCCCAAAGAATGAAAAACTGAGGAACAACCGGTAATGATTCATCTGAACCATATGCATATGTGCATACAATTAATTGAAGCTGTTTGTGGGTTTTTTTATGCAAGTGTTCATGTTCTGCAACAAATTGCTTACAAATTACTTATATGCACATCGTTCAGATAAAAGTTACCAGTGTTCCTCAGTTTTTCACTTTTTTACAGTTTTCCTAAACTTGGCCATATATATATATATATATATATATATGTGTGTGTGTGTGATAATGAGAGAGAAAGTGAAGAAAGAGAAGGAAGATGGACTTGGTAAGCAGAAGTGGCTGTTCCAAAGAGAAACCCAGGTGGAAAATCGGATCTTTTGATGTGGGCATCTTCTTCTTCTTGGAGTTTGAACCCTCGACCGCCATTGTTGGAAGCTTCAACAAGAACACAAGCAGCAGATATGAGAAAGCAGAAGAGAGAGATGGAGATGGAGATGGAGATGGTGGATGGTTTCAATTTCATCATCAAACCACCAAATCAATCTAATCTACTCATATTATCTACATATATAATAATCATTCATTCATTATTATATCAATAACTCAACACTCTATTTTGTATTTATTATGTAGAAAACGACATCTACCTGCAAAATTGGCCCAATCCCCATTTTACACCTGTACCTTTTTCTTACAAGTTATATCATTATAATCGTCTCATCAATATCTTCAAAATAAGTTTAATATTGAATATTTTTTATATTTAATTATATATTATTAAATACTGATAAATTATTTTTAATACTTATTCTTTATACCCTTATAATTACAAATTAAATAAGTAATTATAATTGTCATGCATCTTGTGAAAAAAGGAATCACTCCCTTTATTGTTCTTCAACGGGTACAGCAAACTAATCAAATTTGTGTATATACTCGACGTGTATATATAGGCGTCGACCCATATAAAAGTTCACAAGTTACAACACGAAATTTGTATGTCCGAACACTTATGAATACGCTTGCTTGTGTACCAGGTCCGATATTCGGATTGCTGGTGCTTTAGTGTCGTTTTTCAAGAAATCTTGATACCACCTTGCTGACAACTTGGGGATCCGATCAAGCGTTTGGCGATCAATGTAGTATAAGCCGAATCTGACACTGTAACCGAGAATCCATTCAAAATCATCCATCAATGTCCACACGAAATAGCCCCTTACATCGGCACCATCCCTGTCAAAATGCCGTTTTTTTCATTATTCAACCATACAAAATAGTCCGAGTATTAGAGTCCCAAAGAAGCAAAGTCTCTTTTGGAAAGTAATCTAATGGAGTTCCACATATTCTCACATGGTATTAGAGCCAAGTTCTACACGGACCCGACACTCTCACCAATCTGTACTCGTCTAGCCCCCTCTAGACACTTTGTGATGTACAATCTCTATCCATCTAGCCTCCGTTCCAGGGGCATGTTAGAGTTTGAGATCGGCTAGATTTGGATCATTTCTCCTAGATATATGTTGGGAACCTCCACTTTCTCCTTAAAATGCTCTTTTGAAAAGTAACCTAAACAGGTTCCACATATTTTTACAGAGAGTAAGTTCCTTTTGTTAGCAACTAAATAAGCTTAATTGGACTTACAGCTTGTCCAGTAAGCTATAGTTGACTGTTTGGTAGTGACATAATGATATAGAAGTGGCTTATTCAGTAAGCTTCTAGGGGGAGCTTTATGCAAAAAGCCAAGTTATTTTTTTTCCAAACTTATCACTCCCAACTTAAAAACATGCTACTTCCATCTACAAAAAAACCTCCCAACCAAAAACCTTTGCAATACAGACAGATCAATCCACACAATTCATTTAGGACTTAATGGAAAACCAACCAAACATATGATCACCTGATTGCTTCGGCCAAAGACGAGAGGTACATTTTGTGAAATTCTATTCGCTTGACGTCTTTTCGTATATCTTGAACTTGTACTTCTTGCCCTTTTGGTTCAGAATACCCTGCAACAGGTTAATGCATACATGAAATCATCAAAAAGAGTTGCAGTCCAGTTCTTATGTTTCATGAAGTTGACTTAAGAAAGTCAACAGTAGCCTAGATACAGTTTCAGAGACATTTTGCATACCATTTTCAGTAATAAACATGGGTTTGTTGTTGTATCTCTTCTTTAGATAGCCGATCATTTCTCCGATGCCTCTTGGAACTACCGGCAGCATTAAAATGCCCGTCTGTCAACATAATGAAATTGTTAGTCCCACATCAGCTAAGACTTGTTAGCAGCTTAATGAGCTTAATGGTACTCGCAGCTTATTCAATCAGCTATACATGACTGTTTGGTAGTGGCTTAATGCTATAGAAAATGACTTATTCAGAAAGCCAAGGCTTTTTCAAACCTTCTCCTCAAAATTAAAAAACATGCTTTTTCCATCAATGAAAAAACTCTCTCAAACAAAAACCTACTCAATCTATATAGACAGATAAATCCACATAAACATCTTTATTCATACAGGATTTAATGGAAAACCAACCAAACAGCCCCTGAACCATTTCCGTTGGAACCTCCCTTTTGTTCTCGAGGGCTCTTTTGAAAAATACTCTAATGGGGTTCCACGTATTCTCACAGAAACAATGAAACAAACGAATAGTAAACGAGGGGCAAAAAAGGTCTTTTTTTATACATACTGGTTCACCAATTTGAACACCATCTCGTTCTCTAGTTACATCCACAAAACCGCTAATTGCTCGGTTGGCGGTTAAACTACAACTAGAATGAATGCAATCTTTCACAAATGCAGTTGAATAATGGTTGACTGCAATATAGTCGATACTGTCTGCCATAAACTTCCTTTCGTCAACGGAGAATCTTGGCAGTTGATTTCCAAGATACTGGCGCATTTCCGAGGGATAATCACCAAAGATTAGTGGATCCAATGCCCTATTTAACAATATCGAAAACAAAATTTAAGAAAAATATTGGTGGGGTCGGTTTAAATGAGAACCGTAAATATTTTGAGACCCTCGGAACCAGCTATTCATGACTTATACATCATACATGTCATGACAGATATTCAAGATAAGAATTATTCATAATGAAGATGTGGTATTTGATGATGAAAGATGCATAATAATCATGATGAAAACACATAATATTCATGATTGTTCATCATGATTGTCCTCAGTTTATCATTTTTTTGAGGAACACCCTACGATATGCACATGTGTATACAAGTAATTGAAGTTGTTTCTTGGTTTCTATGCACGTGTGCATGTTATGCACATGTGCATCCCCGACAAATTGCTTAGAAATTACTTGTATGCACATGTGCATCCCCAAATTGCTACAAGTTACTTGTATGCACATGTGCATACCGTCAAGATGAATGTTTACCGGGGTGTTCCTTAGTTTTCAAATTTTTTGTGGATATCCCTTGAACCTGACCCTTATATATATATATATATATGTGTGTGTGTGTGTGTGTGTGTTTATGTATACCAGCCGATAGAGAAAGCCAAGCCTCTGTTAGCAGCTTCTTGATCAAGATCATCATCTGTCAGTGGCTCGTACATTAAACAATCAACCACAATCCCGATTGACCCACCTTGATCATGCTGCACGTACGTTTTTCTAGTCAACGAACATTCACCGAATAAGAAAAAGGTAAACTTTAAGGTCAGCTGATTGCCTGATAATCCTTTCGATATAGCTTCACAGCCTTGCCATGTGCCAACAACAAGTTATGCATAACAATAAGAGGCTCGATATCAGAATTTCCAGCTGAACAATCGCCGAATGGTTGTGAACAGCGAGCAGGTGGATACTTTCCATTTATGTAGGCCATTTGTGTAAACAGGTTTGGCTCATTGATCGTGGTCCAATGCTTCACTCGATCACCAAAGTACTTGAAGCACGTTTCTGCGTAGTGGACGTAGTCTTCCCTATAATTGAAGCATTAAAACCAACAAATATGTTAAACCAGATTGTGAGAATACGTGGAATCCCATTAGTTTACTGTCCAAAAGATCCCTTGAACAATATATACTTAGGAGAAATAGTCCAAGTCTAGCCGATGTGGGACTCTGATAAACTCTCTCCATTAGAGGCTAGATGGGTACAAATAGCCTAGAGTGTCGAGAGGGGGCTAGACAAGTACATATATCCCCGGAGTGTCGAGTCCCAAGAGTGGTAGATCATTGCTTTGATACCATGTGAGAATTTATGGAACACCATCAAATTACTCCCGCCCCTTAAAGCCCCCACTTGGATCACAAGCCCCCGTTAAGCTCCACATAGACTCTTTTGGAGAATAATATAACAGGTTCCACATATTCTCATATGGTATCAAAGTCGTTAGGTACTCGGCGCTATAAGACAATTTGTGCCCATCTGCCTCTATTGAAGGGAACATGTTGGAATCCCACAACTACTAGACTTGGATCATTTCTTCTCCATATATGCAGAAATATCATTTCTCTCCACAAGGGCTCTTTCAGAGAGTAATCTTACGGGGTTCCACATATTCTTACACAAATGTTAAGAAGGGAAACTATGCACGTTCTCTTTACATACTGCATTAACGGGCTGAGCCAAGACCCATATCGATCTTGAAGTTCTTGAGGGAAATCATGATGGTAAATCGTTACAAACGGTTTAATTCCTACAGTGTGTGCAAATTTAAGGTTAATAGTGTGTGTAATTTCCATTAGGTCAAAGGAATGATGTGAAGATATCACCTCTAAGTATGAGATTATCCAAGATCTTGTTATAGAAAAGAACCCCATTTGGATTGACCTCACCAAATCTTCCTCCTGATACAACTCAACAACATCTTCCATCAAGATTCTTACAAAAATCCATCTTTTTATCAACTGTTTTTAAAGTTTTTTTTTTTTATTAACTTGGATATCCAACCCGCTATGCGAGCCGACTAATTCCAGGGCGACCAACTGCTTTGCGGGTAGCCCGGAGTCATCGCATTGGATTTGAACTTGAGACTTCTTGGCATTTTGACCTTTGGAGCCCAAGCTCAAACCAATCAGCCAGCACCCTTGTGGCTATGCTGTTAATATCGCGATATATCGGCGATATATCGGATATCGCTCCTAGGAAAAAAATCGGACCATAAATATCGGTCAAAATATCGGGGCCGATATTATCGGCGATATTTAGCGATTTTTTAGCGATTTTTAGCGATATTTGAGGTAAAAATCGGACCGATATACCGATATATTCACTGGCTCTGTTGCTGTCGCTGGATCTGTTGCTGTGGC